AGAGGGGCCCCTCCAGCACCCCAAGGGCAAGAAGGGGGAGCCTCAATTTCAAGGGTGAGACTCCCAGCACCCCGTGAAAAACTGAGGGGGACCCTGAGCACCTGAATTTTAACAGGGGGGTACCCAGAACTCTGATTTCAAGGGTGACACTTCCAGCACCCCACGGATCTGAGCACCCCAATTTCAAGAGGGGAGCTCCCAGTACCCCAATTTCAAGGCTGAGACTCCCAGCACCCTATAGAAAATTGAAGGAGGCCCCAAGCACTCCGTTTTCAGTCCCCCAGCGATCCAGCAGGGTCCCAAACACCCCAATCCCCTCATCCCCAGACCACAGCAGAACCCCCCCAAACCCCCCTGGGGAGCACGGGGAGCCCCTCACCCCTGTTTGAAATGGTGAGGGGGGGGTCTCTGACCTGTAGAAGAGCACGTTGAGGGGGATGGTCCCGATGTGCCAGAGCGCGTGGGCGTCCAGCACCCAGAGCAGGGGAGGGAAGTCGAGGAGCTCGAGCAGCGCCAGCGCCTGGAGCAGCAGCACGGCGGCCGCGCATTTCCACACGTGCGGGAGGCGCCGGCCCTGCCGCAGGCACCACCGCAGCCACCACGCCACCGTCAGCATTCCTGGGAAAACAGCGGCACCGGGGGCTCAGGGGTGCCCGGGGGGGAAAGGAAACCCCGGTCAGAATTCATGGGAAAACAGGGCGGGGATCAGGGATAGGGGTGTGCACAAAAGCTGTCGGCATTCCTGGGAAAATGGGGAGCTCAGGGACAGGGGGATACCCAGCTCCATGGTCAGCATCCCTGGGAAAACGTGAGGATTCAGAGACAGGGGGATACCCAAACCCCTGGGCAGCATCCCCTGGGAAAATGGGGCTCAGAGATGGTCTCAGGGATGGGGAAGGCACCCCTGACACAGCCCCAGTACAGCCCAGTGGCTCCCAGTACAGCCCAGCACTCCCCAGCCTGGTCTCAGTAGCTCCCAGTGCAGCTCCAGTGCCTCCCAGTCCATCCCAGTGCCTCCCAGCTCACCAGCAGCGGCGTTGGCCACCAGGTTGTAGCCGTAGTCGAAGCGCACGAGGCTCAGGTAGGAGATGTGGCCGGCGAGGAAGAGCAGGAGGAAGGCCCTGAAGATGCTGATTAAGGCCGGGCGCTGCAGCCCCAGCGTCCTGTGGAGGAGGAGGATGGTCAGGGTCCTCCCAGTACGGCCCAGGGTCCTCCCAGGTGCTCCAGCCATGCCCAAACTGGTCCAAAAGAGGCCAGAACCTTCCCCAGCAAAGTCCAGTAGCCCCCAGGAGAGCCCAGTGGCCCCCAGCACCTCCCAGTATGGACCAAGAACAAGCACCAGCACAGCCCAGTCACCAGTAGAGTCTGAGCAACCCCCAGCACAGCCCAGTAGCCCCCAGAACAGAACCAGCACGGCCCAGTGGCTACCAGTATAGAAATGGCAAAGTCCAGTGACCCCTCCCAGCATGACCAGTGCCTCCCAGTACATCCCAGTGCCTCCCAGTACACTCCCCAGTCTAGCTGTAGCTGGCCCCAGTGCC